AACACAAATAAACCACTTATGCTGATCATAACCAATTTTCTCCAGCACATACTTCACCGCTTCATAGTTCTCCTTCAGTGTACTCGAGTGAGCCAGGGGTATAGAGGCAAACTGGTTGCCGTTGTGTAGCAGAACACATTTCAGTGATCGCTTGCTGCTGTCAATGAACAGTATCCAATCTTTGGGTTCGTAGTGTGGCACTCCAAGCTTGAGCAGAAGCTGCGCAATATCTGCACAGTACACCAAGTCCTTCTCTTCCGAGAAAAAACGGAGGTACTCTTGATGCCTGTTGCGCAAGAAGCTGATGTGAGCACTGTCAGAGAGGAGGTTTTTTCCTTCAATCTGGATGCCAACAGTTCGGCAGAGTCCTTTGACAAGCTGAGGTCGCGAACTAGATCATTCAACTCCTTTTGGGAAAATGGATGTGGAGCATCATCTTCAAGAACCACTTCTTCTTCTTCATGTCCTTCAACACTGGAGGCATCTTCGTCACTAATGTCAGGAAGTTCTCCGAAGATAGGCACTGGAATTTCATCACAATGAGCTACAGGACGACGTGCTGATTGAAGATCAGGATACTTCATGGGGCGGCTGCCCCATTAACTTAGTTTTGATTCCCCAACTTTATGCTTTGCTGGACCAATTTATGGAAGATTTCGAGGTTTTATGACTTCAAACTGATCCCTTTTCGACATAATCACCCAGAACTATCGAACCTGAATACTTCTTGTCATTAAAATAATCATTTCCAATCAAAACAATTATTTGACAAGGCATTTTACCCCCACCAACTTCTTCTAAAATGCTCCACACAAGCGTACATGTGAACAAAAATGTAAAAAAGACATGTGGCCATAGCTCAAAAACTTGACCTGATTGAGAAAAACCAATGTGATTTTTTGATTCAGCGCATCAGATTCATCCTAAATCAGCTGAAAAAATGCAGACAACAAATTTGTTGTTGACCAGTGTTATTATATTGAATTCACAGCTCCCCCCCCCCCCAGTGGCTCTTTACACATAGTCCAAGCCCAGAAAATGAATCACCACAAAAAGAGGGGGCGGGGGAAAAGACACCAAGTTGCATAAATTTTGTACGGATGCAAATTTAGAAAGAACTACTATAATCTTCTCATCCCTCCCTTCCTACAAACACATACACACCACCAAAAATTAGAAAAAGTATCACAAAACGGAAGAGAAGAGAGACCTGGATGAAAAGGTCTCTGCCTTGGGCAATCATTTTGCATTGCTTTTAAAGCTATCCCCAAGTTGTTTTTGTACTGTTTCAAAAACCATTTCGAGCTGTTTTTAATGGGACGCCTGCAGATAGCCTTGAGGCATATGGAAAAGGTGATCCGTACATCAAAAAATAATAACAATGAAGATTTGCAAAAATATTTGCATGTGTTGATTTAGATATATAGATGCCAATTTAGAAAGATGACTCTCATTTCAATCGAAATACAATACATCTCTCCCCCCGCATTGCCTCCCCCTTGAAGAAAGAATTCCTCCTGTATTGGCCCTTCAAACAGAAGATGTTAAAGTAGATCAGGGCTGCATGGCTTATACTGCTTAACAGCTACAGAAGAACCAGTTTTTTTACCTTAGTGGAAGACACTTAATTTAACCCCTTTTCATATTTGCAATCTCCCTCCTCCGTTCTTCCTATTTTAAAAATAAAGTGTGATGGAGCAGTTTACTCCTAATTGAAGCTAACTCCAAAAAGCAAGTCCCTGCGTGACTCCAAAAAGCAAATCCGCGACTCTAAAAAGCAAAGTGACTTTGGCTATGTACCAGCAAACTACAAGCTAAGGCTAATCTAAGCTGGGATTTTTTTTTTTTTTACCAATTTAACAGCCAATTAGGTTGGTGTAACACCTCCACCACCTCCCAGACCCTGGAGCGCAAAGTCTGTCAAATTGGCATTTTACAAACCTTGTTGGCTCTATTTCCTCTCGCTGAAATATCTCTGGAAGTGGCTAGCTCAAAGACACGCTTGGCAGCGACTCAAGAAGTGTGTCCAGGGGCATGAGATTTAATTAAATTGGGGCTTTCAACCCATTTGATGTTGTGTGCATAAACAGGGCGCTTGGAGTAACATCTGCCGCACCATTGGCCAACCTGCAGTGCCTTGAGTAGATTCGCGGCACACAGTTCAGGCCAGGACACAACCTTGACTGCAGTGTATTGTCAGGCTTCAGCTCTAGCCAGCCTTTCCTGCACAGCCCTGCTATTCCCTGCTACTCATCTCGGCCAGTTAAAACCTCAGGTCTGCTTCAGGTAAGAACATCAGTAGTGCCTGCTGCATTACCATCTCAGCCAGCACCCTGTTCTCGCAGCGGCCAACCGGATGCCTGTGGGAAACCCACAAGCAGGACCTGAGCCCAAGAGCCCTCTCCCCTCCTGTGGCTTCCAGCAAATAGCATTCAGAAGCATTACTGTGTCCAACCATGAAGGCAGAGTTGAGCCATTAAGGTTAGTAGCAACCGATTGCCCCAGAGGCAGACCCTGGTGTCTCAAATTTCAGCAATGCCAAAATCCAGTGCCCCCACCTCTCGCCTTCCATTCTGAAACATTGCTGCGCTGCCCCCTGTGGCACCCCCGAAGCTCTGCACCCAGCAGTGGCATAGCAGGGTTTGCTGGTGCTTGGGGCACATGTACCAGGAGGAGTGGGACACAGAGGGTGAACAGAACCTGCTGTGCCACCCCAGCCCTCACCATGGATGTTGCCAGAGAATCCCAGGGGTGGGATGAGGAGGACACTACAGCCATGCAGGTGGAAATTGTTCATATGTGCAAACCAAAACTGGTGTTTTTTTAAACACACACACACACACACACACACACACACACACACACACATTGTGTAACCCTTGAAACCCTCCCTTGTATCACCTTCTTTACTCCCACACAGCACATTCTTTGCAGTCCTAAATAGCCATGAAAATCTCACTGAGGGCCAACAGCGCCAATTTGGAGTGAGGGGGGAAATGTCTGAATGCCCTCACTTTGTGCCAGTTAGAGATCATGCACTGAATATGACGATGTGACCATGAAGTCTTGCCAATTCTGATGCAGGATAATGTGACTGATAGCAAAAATAAAAATAAAAATCTGTTCCCTGCCCTTCCTATCCACACAGAGCCCTCAAGGCAGATAGTAATATTCATTCACGAACACCTGGACAACAATGGCAACTGTGTACACACTTAACCTGGGAGTAAGGACTTGCTGACGAGTAGACATCATCATGTGAAATAGAGACCTCCATTCCCTTCACAGAGCTATTTCTCGAAGTGGACTAGCAATCAATCCCTTTTCCTAGGGAGCTCTGGGAATTGTAGTACTGTGAGGTGAATAGGAGACTCCTAACAACTCTCAAAAACACCCTTAACAAACTGCACCCCCCAGAATTCTTTGGGGAAGCTATGACTGTTTAAGGTGGTATGATACTTTCTTAAAGGTATAATGCAAGTAGGACCTAAATCTAAGAAAGAAAAACAGAGAGAGGTGGGATGGGAAGTGCCAATTCAGGTAAGGCACAGGTGACATAGAAAAGTCCGGTGGGCCAATATACTAGCCCAGGAGTAGATGATTTCCCACCCTGTGCTAAGATTTAGACCTGGCAGAAACTTAGTATGCGATACAAACACACCTTTTGTGTTTTGCCCCGACGGAAAAAAAAGCACAAAATTTGATGTGACATTTTCAGTGTGAGCTTAAGTGTTCTAGAGTTCATCTCTGGACAAAGAGCAAGCAAATGTTTCGCAAGTTTGAAAGATTTTCCATTTGACTGGTGTGATACTTAGAGGTATAAACATTCTCCAAATCTAGAGCCCCAAGAAACTGAATGACAACAGAAGCAGAATACTTCCTTGGAGATGAGGGATAAAATCATGGCTGGTAGCCTGTTTTGCCAAACACTCTGTGTGAGTCAGCTGTGGGCCTGACACCACTTGTGGGTTTTCAGTGTTAAAAGACAGAGGCCCCCTAAGCCTTTTGAAAATTGCACTTATTCATCCGGAAGGAAACAGCCCTGCATTACGAAAACTGCTTTGACCTTAATAACCCACAAAGGGGTTTCCTTGTTCTTGTTTGGGCTTTATTAACACACTTTTAGCATGACAGGATGACCTCACCTTGCCTGGGTTTCTGATGGTTAAGATGGTGATATTGCAACCAGCCAAATCATCTGGATGGGTTGCTTTTGAGCTGGGCCAGCATGGAGACTTTGGCCCAAGCGGGAAGGTTTAGCGGGAAACGGGAGAGGTTTGTCTGGTTCATCTGTTTGGTTGGGGCCATATATCACTGAAATATCCAACGGGAATCTTTAAACTGGCATTACAGGGATCAAAACCACCTCTAATGAACTGAGAAACATGTGCCCTGCTCTCCTTTTGAACTCCACCTGCCAATGCCCTGAGCTGGAACTAAAGCCCAGGGGACTGGCAAAAGAGAAACTGTCTTACCAGGTTCTATGTGACTGCCTTCATGCTGCGAATCTGTGGAATCTGCCACATCGCCACTCATCTTGATATCTAAAAATGTGAAGCAAGCTGGTTTTAATAGCAGAGCATGACCCACCCCCCACACCTGTGCCTCTTCAGTGAGTGTGTCATTATAATAATATACCACCAAGCTTTTGAATTCCCAATTCCTACACATCCAGCCTCAGGAATATTCATAAGCTTGGGCAATGCTGTGCCTTCCTCCCTTCTGTGTCTCTCCCCTCTCCATTCATCTTCTGTGCCTTCATTCATCTTTTGAGACTTCTCCTTCATTCATTTTCCTGATCATAGCGTCAGGCAAGATGGATGGCAAAGGCTGGAGAACAGGAACAGGCCTTTCCAGATGGGCTTTCCATCTTGAGACTGGGGAACCCCAGGAGGAAAAAAACTGCTCCATGATGGCACCTTGAGCATAAGAGCCAGGAAGCATGATTCTCCCTAATGTAGGCATTCGGCTGATATCTAAGGTACTGCAAATCGTTCAGCGGACCAAAGCTTAGTGATTAGAGCATCTGCTTTGAATGCAGAAGGCCTCAGGTTCAATCACTGGCATCTCCAGGACAGGCTGGAGGAGACACTTGGCTGAAACTCTGGAGAGCTGCTACCAGTCAGTGTAGACAATACTGAGATGGACCAATAGAGGGACCATTTTGCCCCCACTCGATCTGACATTGGTCTTTCTTTCATGACTATGATTTTAAGCAATTTACCCTTGAAATTACTGTCCCTGCTGCCAGAGACCTGGATTCCAGATCTTCATTTACCAGAGTTCACCATGTATGAATTTGGAGGCTTGCGACCCATCACAGAATATGGGCGCATTCAGATGCGGGGAATGTGGCATTTGTTTTCCTGATTATAATGCTGGCACTTCTATCCTATTTCCTAACATTCCTTCCACTCTGCAGTACCTGTTGCATTGTGGAACGGTGGCTTTTTGACTGATAAACTGGCACACTGTACTAAATTTCATTCACACTGGTGGTGCAGCACAGTAACAGAAGTCACTCAACAACATCACTACTCCTCTGTCTTTTCTGCACATGCCTGCTTCTGCTTCCCCATGAAAAAACCAATGCACTTCAAGACCTTGCATATCACCCCAGATTTTGTCACTTTACTCCCTCAATTTTCCTGGTTAAGGGGGCTGCAAATGGAATTAAAAAACACAGGAATGAGTACTGAACATTCACTATATTCCATTACTTTGCTGCAAGTGGCTTTTACATGACGTGAAAGTTCAACTATAACACGAAAATTAATGGTTAGGGAAACTTTGGGGACAGGGAATGAACTGCTGTGTGAATGCAGCATATGTCCCACATATTGGGAGTGGGTGGCGCTGTGGTCTAAACCACTGAGCCTCTTGGGCTTGCTGATTAGAAGGTCAGGAGTGCCAATCCCCGTGACGGAGTGAACTCCCATGGCTCTGTCCCAGCTCCTGCCAACCTAGCAGTTCGAAAACACACCAGTGCAAGTAGATAAATAGGTACTGGTGTGACAGGAAGGTAAACAGCATTTCTGTACACTCCAGTTTCCATCATGGTGTTCTGTTGTGCTAGAAGCAGTTTAGTCATGCTGGCCACATGACCCGGAAAGCTGTCTGTGGACAAACGCCGGCTCCCTTGGCCTGAAAGCGAGATGAACGCTGCAACCCCATAGTTGCCTTTGACTGGACTTAACCATCCAGGAGTCCTTTACATTTACCTACAGGTATGTCCCACATTTTCTTCTCAATGGGTATAGAACCAGGTGCAGAAAAGAAGAAGCCCACATTTAAATAAACCTGGATAGCTTTGGAAGGGCACTTTTAACTCTTTGCATCCTAACTGGAAGAGTACTGGGTTTTTGTTGAGGTTTTTTTTTGTAAGAAACAATTTGCATAAGCTTCCACTAGCCAATTCCCTGGAGGGTTTTTTGTGTGTTTTTTTGAGAAGAGGAGAGTGATTTGCATCAGTTAATAACACTATTTATAACACTCGCTCGCTCTGTGCCTGTTCTCTGCGGTTTTGCCAGGTGAGCTCTCCATTAAAGAGACATCACTCGGAATCAGGCAAAACTCCATGATATGTAATTGTTCTCGTCAAACATACCAAGAAGGAGATAATTGACATAGCTTTTTTTCATATCCCCCGCATGTTACAAGACCGCAGAGAACCAATCCAAGGATAACAAAAGATAATCTGAAGGTTTAGGAAATGAGAAGGGTTGACAAAGGAGCTTGAAAGAAGTATCAAAGCTCCATCCCGGAAGAGTATGACTTGTGGCAGCTTCAAATCTTGCTAAAAATGATGAACACAGGAAGCTGCCATTTACTGAGCTGGACCATTGGTCCATCTAGCCCAGTATTATCTACAGTGACTGACAGCAGCTCTCCAAAGTTTCAGGCAGGACCATTTTTCTCAACCCTAACTAGAGATGCTGGGGATTGAACCGAGTCCTTCTGCATGCAAAGCAGATGCTCTATCCCTGAGCTACAGTTCCTCCCTTTTAAAAATCGGTACTTGTGGGATGGGCGAGACAATGCTTTTTTCATGCCTTCTCACATGGAACAGTTTGACAGGCCAAGAGGACTTCAAGGGCAGCCTTCCAAGCATCCCTATCTTACAGTTTCCGATTTGATCCTGGAATGTCCCGCTTTTCTGTAGGACATCCCTATTTTCATTGGAGAAATGTTGGAGGGTATGTATCAGATCCAGGCCTGGAGTTATCCAGACCAAATTCCCTAGTCAAGGGTCTTGAAGTGCATAGGTAGAAGGTCTTGCACTGTGGACAAACAATGGTCATGATGCCAGGCTCTGAGGAGGTATTTATCCCAGTTCTGGCCAGTCCAAAGGCTTCATATTGCCTGCCAATCACAGGGGCTGATGTCATACACAGAGATACAACTATTCCCGTTCTAAGGCTTAGGGGCCTCACCATACACACTCACTCCTAGGTAGCTCACTGCATGGAGTTCCTGTGCCAATTCATGGATTCCTGGGGCAAGTTCTCAACAGCATGAATATCATTGAATAAACCCTGAATTTGGTATCTGGCTTATTAGCGCTCTGGGTAAGTAAAGGTAAAGGTAAAGGGACCCCTGACCATTAGGTCCACTCGTGACCGACTCTGGGGTTGCAGCGCTCATCTCGATTTATTGGCTGAGGGAGCCAGCGTACAGCTTCCGGGTCATGTGGCCAGCATGACTAAGCCGCTTCTGGCGAACCAGAGCAGCACACGGAAATGCCGTTTACCTTCCCGCCAGAGCAGTACCTATTTATCTACTTGCACTTTGATGTGCTTTCGAATTGCTAGGTTGGCAGGAGCAGGGGCCAAGCAACAGGAGCTCACTCCATTGCGGGGATTCGAACCGCCGACCTTCTGATCGGCAAGTCCTAGGGTCTGTGGTTTAACCCACAGCGCCACCCATGTCCCTTGCGCTCTGGGTACTTGTACACAAAGCATTCACCAATATGGTGGCAGTCAGATCCAGATCCAGAGAACACTCATATACTCTTGAAATCTCCTGCTGAGGCAGGGGATGATTTAATCGAGGACATAAGAACACAAAAAGAGCCTGAAACACTGGAGAAGCTCAGAGGGTAGCATATCTGCCTTGTATCCAGAAAGTGCCAGGTTCAATCCCCCTATTGCCAGATACAGCTGGGAGAGACTCCTGCCTGAAACACTGGAGAGCTTCTGCCAGTCAATGTAGTCATTATTGAGCTAGATGGACCAACGTTTCAACTCAGTACAAGGGAGCTTTCTATTTTCCTATACTGTACTTCCTCTGGACATGAAGGTTTCATTTATCCATTAATGGTGGTTGGCAGACCGAACCTTCGCCATGAAGCTGCCTCATCTAGTTGTAACGTAATCTCAAGACTGGACTACTGCAATGCACTCTGTGTGGGGCTGCCCTTGGGTCTGGCCTGGAAGTTTTAGCTGGTACTGAATGCTGCAGCTAGACTGGTGATGGGAACTGTCTACCACCAGAACATGACACCGGGGTTGAAAGCACTGGTTTTCCATCAGGTACTGGGTCTGGTTCAAGACTCTTATACTGGTGTACAAAGCTGTAGATAACTTAGGCGTAGTAGGTCCCAAGTCAATCACTGAAACAAGAAGTTGTGCCTTCAGTTGTGGGTCCACCTCTGTGGAACTCCCTCCCACTAGAAGTCAGGCAGCCACTGGCACTGCTGAGTTTCAGGCACCTGGTTAAATCCAGCTTATTTCAGGAGGCCTTTCCATCACAAGAGTTCCTCTGATGTTTTAATTTATTTTTCTCAAGTTCTTTGTTTCAGCCACAAAGCTTACTGCACGATCCTGGGCCATTCACCGCCTCTCAGCCTAAGCCTTACCTCACAGGGTTGTTGTGGTGATAAAATGGAGAAGGGGAGAATCATGTAGGCTACCTCTTGCTCCTAGACCAACCCCCTGCAATGCAGAAATATGCAGCTGTCCCATGTGGGGATCGAACTTGCGACCTTGGCGTTATCAGCACCATGCTCTAACCAACTGAGCTACAGAGACTTGTGCTAAACACACCAGAGCTATTGCCAACTTCAGGAACCCCAGTTGGAGAACATTCAGCCCAGGAACACCTGCTCTCAGTCCTGGCCTGGCCCTGGTACAGAGAACAGATCTCTGATCGGGATATGCCTGGAGCTCTTGCCAACCTGCCCGATGTAATTAAATTGGATCTAACATCAAACAGCCTTGTTACGGTAACTGGAGGATGGTGTCACGTGTAGCAAGACTAGCCAACCGCCCTGGAATTCCGACTGTGTAAACACCTTCAGACCTGAAGCTATAAGCCAACTGAACTGCTGGAAATGTAGGTTAGGAAGTGGGTCTGGCCCAAGAGGAGTTTGCTGGCTTGACACACCAGAGCCAGTTTGCCAGAGGTGGGAAGGGGGACCTTTTCTTCTCCTGCCCATTCCTCCTGGCACCGTCATTGCATGAGAAATCCCAAGTGGAAAGTGAGATGCAAGTTCTTCCTAAGGCAACTTCAGTGCCTTTGAAAGGGAAGAGCTGGCCCTCAATGTCTTGCACAACCAAGCCAGACTAGTCAGTTTCATTACCACACAGAGCAAGTTTCACCCATCAGCATTCCCACACAGCAACCTTGCTTCAGTTGGACTGCAAGACAAAGTGATTCTGCAAAGCTAAAGAGGAGCAGCGAGTAGGCTTTTTTAATAATAATAAAAAAAGCCTGCTACTACCTGCACTGCAGAAGAGGCAAGCAACCTTTCAGTTTGACATAAAAAAACTCGAAAGTGAGTGGCCCCTTCAAGCCAGAGGATTTGCTACAAGCAAAAGAGCAGAAGGTGGGGAAGGGGGCTGGTTTTGACATTTTTGCTGTTGCCTTCTGTCCTACCAAAGAGGACCAAAGCAGGATTTCACTTTGAATTTTATAGAAAAATCTCTCAAAAGTGACTTGCCTCTTCAGCAAATGGAAATACTTCTGGCTGTTCAACACTCCCTCACCCCTGCAACGCTTTCCATCACAGTCTCTTGGGGCCCACCTGAAAGTGTACCAAAACTACTGACGATCCCCAGAACACATTAAATGCCCAACCAACTTTGTCAAATCTGACTCAGCTGGAATTGACCCCACACATGTCTACTCACTCCCACTAAGTTCAATGGGATTTATTCACAGGTAAATGAGTAGAGAGTTGAAGGAATAAAGTTCTGTAAGGTGAGATATTCATGTTACCAATTAGCAGGTGGCTTTCTTCTGTCATTTCTGTGCACTGTTGATGATTTCTCTGGCTACCTACTGCATTGTTAGTCATTAGCCCAAAAGCATGGTGAAAGAACACTTTAACATGAGTTCCTTGTTTCTTGCCAAGGCAGAGCAAAATGGTGGTTTGCCTCACACTATTCACATAGGAAAAGTCCTCAATCTCCAATTCCAGTTAATCTTCCTACAATTGTTTTAAATTATCCATAAGGCATGTTTCAGAATATAAGGAAAGTTCATATATCTGAGAGGTCAAACCCTTTGTATGGTTTTCACTGGAAATCTCCTCAAAAACCTCAAAATTGAATAATTTTCTGCTAACAATCTCTTTTACTTTGTTTAAAAACATTCCAATGTAGCTTTTCAGGCAACAACAAAAAGCCCATCATTCCCTTTATTTCCGATGTTCAGGTGTGAGTGCCGATTCTAATATAGCTGAAATAGAAACATCCACATAGAACTGGGTTGAAGTAGTACAAAAATATTTGGGGATGGGAATCTTCAGTGTGATGAGAAGGGCCCCTCCCAAAAAAACAACATCCCAAGCATGCACATCGGCCACAGAATGCTGGCTAAATGTTGAGTGGGAGAGAAAATGGAATGGAATGACCTGGAGGAGGGCAGGGCTAGCTGGCTGGCTGGCAGGCATACTAAACACTAGCACTCTGCACTGCAAAATTTTGTTGCAGGTCCCACTCATTCACCGCTCTGTGCCTTTGTGTCTTTCCACCATGGGAGACAGTGGCTTGACAAACAGCCCCAAAGATAAGTGGATTTCTTTGGGATTTGCCTTTGTCTGTACTCTGCTTCTCCATAATCTAAGAGAATTTCTAAAATCAAATGCTGGATTTGAACAGGCACACTTTAGCATCTTGAATGAAGAACACCAGAACCACATAGCTGCTGAACCCTGCCAATGACCCATCCATTCCGCAACCTCTGTTTCCCACAGAAGCCAAACAGATGGTTCCAGAAAACTCACACGCAGGGCATTAAGGCAGCAGCCCTCTCCCACTCATATTTGTAAGACCGCTGCAGGATCAGACCAAAGTCCCATCTAGTCCAGCATCCTATTCACACAGCCCAAATGCAGAACCTGAGCACAACAGCACGTAGAACATAGCCTTATCCCCCATAAATGTGCCTAATCCTCTTAAAAAGTTATTTCCAGGTTCCCATCTCCCTCTGTATTGATCTAACACTGCATGGGGGGAGACCGCTATCTTGATGCGATTGTAGTTGCACCTTTTCGTATGACGTTCCATTGACTGTCATACGAGTTCCTGCACATTAGGGGACACCTGACAAAAATGAATCTTTATGCAATTATGTGTACAAATTACATTAAAGCCAGCTTTCTTGCAGTGTTTTTTCAAAGCACGCTGCAAGAGCACTGAAAGAATTACCGGTAAGTAAAGGAATCGACCCATTAGTGTGGCAGCAATCAATTCCCTGGAACTCCTTGCCTATTGATATTAGGCAAGTGCCTTTGTTTTGCTTCCTAAAATCCTTTTTCTTTAGGAAAGCCTAACCAGGCATACCATTTTTATTACGTGTGCTTGTTACTTAAATAGTTGAGTTTAATCAACAATTTCATAGAATCATAGAATTGCAGAGTTGAAAGACACCCAAAGTGTTGCCTAGTCCAACCCCCTGAAATGCTAAAGAGCTCCTGATAAATAGCCACTTAAGCTCTGTTTAAAAACTTTCAGTGAGTGAGGGAGAGGCCATCACCTTCCCAGGTAGTCCATTCCAC